TTGAAGAAAGATAAACTTGAAACGTGAAAGGTGGGGAAGAAACGTGAATGGTGATGAAAAAAGGTTAATGGTATTGATTTAATTTATTTTTTTCACTTTAAACGGTTATTGATATATAATTTGGTCTAATATAGGACTCTTTCCATAAATAAAATTAATTTAAAATACTAAAATCTGAGTACATATTATTTTATAAAAATATTGTCATTCTGCCATTTTAAATAAATATTTTAAAGTGTTGTTATTTTGACTAATTATGTTAGGTATTATGACTTAATTGCTAATTTTTCCTATTAATATCATTTACCACATCAGAAAATGTCAATATTTTCATATATATATATATATATATATATATGAGTTTAATAAGAAGAATTTTTTCATTCTCTAAGAACTTGAGTAGTTTTAGAATCACCAACATATATAAATTTTTCTTCTTCTCCAATTTGGGTGTTGAACACAAAATAATTTTAGTTAGCACAAATATGCTCAACAACACCAAAGTCAACCTTTCACTTTCACATATTAGCTATAAGATTCGCTTCATGAGAAATTACCACAATAATTTATATCATATTCATTTAGTTAAATTTTTTATTTTTACTTAGCGGGATCCTCATTTCTCCAAATCTTTTTCTATATTGAGGGGCATGTTAGCTTAATTTGTCACACACAAGTTTACCAAACTATAGACATATAATATTATATTACATACCTATTTTATCGAGCCTCCGAAAGATCTCAATATAAATAGGTTACCCTTGACACCAAATGCTGGTTACAGAGTTGCATCTTATTTGAATTACTTCACTGTAATTTCCTAGTACCCCTGTTGATAGTATAACAACATTTACATCCATATCAATTTTAGCATAGTTTAAAAATTGGAAGTTGACACTTTTCCTCAAAGCTTTTGTTGTAACATACTTTAATCTCACCTAAAAATGACTTTGGGATTAACGCAAAATTAAACAAATAAATATATCTCACACAAAAAATGACTTATCTTTATGAGTGAAAAGATGTAGATTACTATGATTGATGTGCTAATACTCTCCATCTCTTTATTGGCTACTGTCAAACTCCACTTCATCCTTTGAATACAAACGCATTGTCTAAAATCCCTCTATATTAATCATCACAATTTCTATTCCTCCTTACCCATAAATTCGGAGATTCTAAATTTCCTTTTAAAGTGGGCTTCGAACCCACGGGGTTACTTTAAAAAAATCTTCAGAGCACAGTTCAAGGTGCCGATAATTCATCTTCTGAAATAAACTCTAGCGTGAAAAGCATTTTTACAATGCTTTCTTACCACTAAGCTATTAATCAGTTTTGTTAGGGGTTCACAAGTTAATATACATATTTTTTTTGAATTTTTTTTTAATACAAATACAAAATCTATGAAAAAATTATTGGGTTCATCCGAACCCATAAACACCATCTAGCTTTGCCTCTGCCCACAAATTATTGATCATTGATAGGAATGTGGGATCACAGTAATTTATGAAATATCTTCACAAAATCATTTTTGGAAGAGGAAGGTAGTATTTTCAGTAAGAACAAAGTAGAAGAGAAATATCATTTAGATTGTTGGAATATCTTAAGGAAAATACTTCATCATGAATATTGTTATAAGGAGTTCTTCAAAGTTTGAGGCGTGTCAAATACATTGTTCTTAAGGATATATATTTCACCCGATATAAGTGTATTCTTAGAATTCAACAAGCTCAGAATCTAACTAAGACTAAATAATATAGACCCGGCCAAATAAAATACTCCCTCCGTCTTAATTTATATGGCACTTTTCGGATTTCGAGATCCAAACAAGTCTATCTTTGACCGTAAATTTATCATATATATCTTTTAATTATTTTAAATTTTCAATTATTGTGACTTATAGTACTTTTTACGTAATTTACAAATATATAAATTTCATTTCAAAAAATTTGAAGATTCCACGTGCAAATTTTTGGTCAAACTTAAACTGTTTGACTCTCGAAAAATGAAAAGTGACACATAAATTGAGTCAAAGGGAGTTTGAAGAAAAAGATAGGATTTTCTCACTATTTTTTCCACCCACTCTACAAAAGAACACATTACTAATATATAGCAAAAAATAATAAGCTACTAACATCTCAGAAACGACAATTTAAAAGTATAAGAATGAATGTCATTAAATACATTCAAGACAATTTATTTTGGACTATTGAAGATAATTAATTTGGTCAAATGAGACATTCCAACATCTATATATTTGACTAACTTCAATGATAATTTCCGATTATAAGAAAAGAAAGTAAGACTCATTTAATAGAATAAATGTAGATAATATTAGATGAATACTTTTTTTGAGATACTTGCGAGAGAAGTATATATTTTCTAAGAATGAAAGTGTAAATTTGCTAATAAGCTTAGCTGGCAGTTTAATAAACTTAAAATGATATTCATTCAACATAGGTATTTACCTTCATTTCATATTAGTCAATAATAAAATCTAAAGAAATCTCTTTGGCGTTACCGAATCTAAATAAATTTATTTTATGAAGGAAATATATTTTGGAGAAAAAAAAAAAGGTGTATATAACCACAAGTTGAAAAAGCAAAATGAGAACAAAAATTAAAAATGACTTCAAAGTGTTGTTTCAAAATAGGCTTTATATTAGGCCTTGTTTTTGTATGCACAAATGCTCAAGAAAAGGTCTTCAATGTCCTTTCTTATGGTGCTAAAGCAGATGGAAGGACGGACGATAGTAAGGTGAGAACCAAAAAATTAACTTTTTAATGTGTTCTTAGCTATTAATCAATTCATACGATTAAAAAAACTAAAAGTTTATATTTAAGCTATTGAATCTGATGGTTATGCAATTTTTTGGGGTTGTTTTTAATTCCCAAACACCATTGTTTATCATTTAAATTTCTTAATTAAGAACTTTGTATTTATTTAATTAGGATCCAATTGAATCTATAAATAGGCAAACAAATGAGGAGTACATAGAGGAGTTAATAGATGCAATAGATGGGAGAAATATTTGTGGTCTTTCTGACTTCATCGTAGTATTTCTCATATGAGAAAAAAAGAATTTTGATATTTTGATTTGGGTTTATTTTAGATTATCATTGAAACTTTAATTTAAAATGTAAAAACAATTGTTATGAAGATAGTAGGAAAACCAATTCACTTGGGAAGAATTTAGATGACGTGAACAATATTTAGCAATTTTTTAAACAAAAATTATCAAATTATGCGGGGTGGATTGATGCGGAGCGGGTTTATACGCGGTGGGGGCATTAGTGCATACAAAAACAAGGCCTAATATAAAGGTGCAATGTTGATTTAAGGCAAATCCAATGTGGCTCGGCAAACCTCAACGACGGCATTGAGTCTGTAAGAGGGGTGTATGCGACACTCCATCTTAGGATAAGAAATTCTATATCGGTAAAATATATAAGATATAATAGGTATATAATTAAGCAAAGCCTTACATCCTAGTAATGCATTTTAAAATCGTGCGAGCCTAGACTCAAAATGGCGAATTTCATCATTACAAGTTACTAATAAAATAATTATCATTGTACATATGACAAATTCATTGTCTCTCTAAGTCTTCTTTTATTTATTTATTATGATGAAAGGCACTTTTGAATGCTTGGAGGGATGCATGCCAATGGAATGGAAATGGCACATTGTTGATACCTTCAGGGGAATATATGGTAAATGGTGCAATATTTAGTGGGCCATGCAATGGATCGGCGAAGACCTTCGAAATGAAAGGAGTTATTAAAGCTCCAACAGACCCTAATATATTCTGCAAGCTGGAGTCTTGGATTTCTTTTCAATATATCCATGACTTAGATATTAAAGGACATGGAACATTTGATGGTCAAGGGGCTTGTGCTTGGGGAAAGCATCCATGTGCAACCCTTCCCTATGTAAGTTTTAATTAATTTGTCTAAATTTTCTAAACTTGTATATTGTTTCTAATGCCTTAGCTTGTTCTAAATTTGAATCTGCAGACACTTGGATTATATTTTATCAATAATTTGATTGTGCATGACATACATTCAAACAATAGCAAGGGTGTACACGTCAACGTCTACAAATGCATTAATGCCAAATTTAGGCATGTTCAAATAGCGGCGCCAGATAACAGCCCTAACACCGATGGTATTCATATTGGCTACTCAAAGAACATCCATATCGCGGATTCAAACATTGGCACTGGAGATGATTGTATAGCTATTATCGATGGTAGTCAAAACATCAACATTACAGGGATCACTTGTGGCCCTGGCCATGGAATAAGCATCGGTAGCTTAGGAAAAGTACCTACACAAGAAGTTGTGAAGGATATACAAGTCAAAAGTTGCACTTTCATCAATACTCAAAATGGGGTGAGAATTAAGACTTGGGCATCATCGATAGCCGGTATGGCTACAAATATAACATTTGATGATATTACCATTATAAATGCATCGAATCCTATAATTATTGATCAACATTATTGTCCGGAGAGAAATTGTAGCGGTAGCACACAGGTATCCATGCATTTCCCTTCTTAAATTCTTTTGTGTTTGGTACGTCAGAAGTCATTTTAAATTTACTTTCCTTTTGTTATTAGGAAAGTTGTGTGCAAATCAAGGATGTGACATTCAATAACATAAGGGGATCTTCAAATTCAAAAGCAGCAATTACTTTAAATTGTAGTGCTTCACATCCTTGTAAAGGAATTATGCTTAATGATATCAACTTGGAATATCATGCCCCTGATGCTCCTGCCATATCAACATGTACTAATGCCAATGGAAAAGCTACAGGCAAGGAATTGCCTCCAAGTTGTTTAAAGTAGTCTCTTTATTCATAAACATTAATTTGATTATAGAAAGTTTTACTCCTATGTTACCGTAAACTTGTCAAGTTTAAAATTTGATTAATCTATCCTCTCATCATTTTTGGTGAAATTACTAATCATTCTATTATTACATTTGTCTCTAAATATTAAAATGATAAAAATCAAGCATTAGGCACTACAAAAAAAATTGCAAATTGTGGGAGTTTCTAACCTCCGCAATTTGATGGTTCTCAAAACTCGTGCAAATATGCATGTCGCAACTAATTTGCGAGGATTTTTTAAAGAGGCGGTTATTTTTATCCACTTGCAAACCTCCGCTATTTGTTTACCAATATTCTTGCACTCTTTTTGTGGGGGTATTAACCTTCCCAACTTTTTGCTAAACTTTAGCATTTCAATTCTTATATAATTAGATTTAATATAATTAATAACTAAAGCAACAGCAACAACAACAACAAAAGCATTAGAAGTATTTTTATAATTACAACACTAAAATTCTATTAAATCATAAAAAATGTCTGACTTAACAATATTACAAGCAAGAAAATTATCAATGAACTTACACATAAGAAACAAAAAGGTTTTTTCAATACATTTTCTTCTACGAGTTTGTGAAGATGAATTTTTATTTGCTTATATTGTGGTGTTTTTTGGAGGCACTAGGTCAGTACTTGAGTTGCCTCCGACAAAACCATTAGGCAATGATTTTGCCTTTGGAAGCTGATCTGTCAGGGTTCACACTATTAGAAAATGAGCTTAGAAGCTCAAAAGATTGGAACAGAGAAGAGTGAAACATAAATTGAAATGTGTATTGAAAATATCTTCACTCAACTGCATGTAATTGTACATCAACTCCTCTATATATAGAGGTGTGTAATTGACCCAACCTATCGACTAATTATACTAATTGTAATCTAACAGACTAGCAATATTAGTAACACGTACTAACTAAGCCATATGGAAAATTAGTTGTAATATTGTTACATTTCATGAATACTCCCTCTCAAGATGGCTCCGAGCTTGCTTAGAAGGTATAGGTGTTGAACACGCCCCAACCCTTTGGTCAACAAGTCAGCAACTTGATGTTGAGTAGGAACATACACAGTGTGAAGCATGTCGGATTTGATCTTGTCGTGAATGAAGTGGTAATCTATTTCTATATGTTTGGTATGCTTATGAAAAATTGGATAAGCCGCAATATGTATAGCAGACTTGGTATCACTCATGGAACATGTAACTGGAGGACCACTTCCAATTCTTTAAACAAGCTTAGCAGCCAAGTAAACTCAGCTACAGATGAGGCCATACTTCTATATTCTGCCTCAATAGAACTCCTTGAAATAGTGTGTTACGTTGCTTAATTCTTTAACTTCCAGAAAATCAAGGACTCCCCAAAACTTGATCACATAGCCTGCAACTGACCTCCTTGTATTAGGGCATGCAACCCAATCAGAATCGCACCAACATATTAACTCATTAGCAACCTTAGCCTAGAACAAATACTCATTAGTTTAGAATTTATAGTGAATTCAGTTGATGGTACTCAATATAATCTAATTTATGTAGTACTTTTTGTTATATACTAATTTTTTTTTTATCATTGCACTAACCCGCATATACCTTATAAATGATGAAATGTCAATCTATAGAATCCATCATCTACCAGCCACATGAGAAATAATTAATTATATTAATTGATGTACAATACTAATAAAATTTAAAAATTCACTTTTTGCAATGGTAGTAAAGTACAACTCAAATTACACCTAATCGTTATATCTGACCATTTTTATATAAAAAAGAAGGCAATTTTTGTTGTAACTCCCTCATTTTATTGACTTCATTTTATATTCAATTTAAAATAACTACAATGTCTCAAGCACCTCAAATATCCAATGCAAAATCATTATTGTTCCATTTAAGTAAACGAGGAATGGGTTGTCTTTCGTTATGTTGTCGTTCCATCTAAATAAATAACGAATGTGTAAAAAAGAACCTAAGGACTTTCTGACATTCTTTTTTTATCATCTCATATCATCATATATTACTAAAAGTGGGAAGAGTTTAAGTCAAAGTTGAATTACAAAAATATCTCTATGCTAATTTTTTTCATTAAAAAAATATCTTTTTTTAAAATCAAATCAATAATGATAATTAAATGACATTTCTCTTTTTTCTTAAATTTTTGACATTTTTTCTTAATATATATATATATATATATTAGAAAATGTTACATTTTCTCTAGCTACTTCCGTTTATTTGCATTAAAAAATTTCAATTAAAAGTAAAAACACCTTTAAGGCATTTTGTTTAAGAGATCACAATAAATATCGACTCTTCATTATTTTTCTTCAACCATCAGGCTTTTGCTCTTCTAACTTCCAAACTTTTGGCCTCCCAATCCAATCTATCACTACATCATATACTTATAGCTTCTAAAATCATTTCAGTTTTTAGTAAACTTTAATTTTAAAGCTGTTGATTTTTTTCTATTGGGTTGTATCAGGTATTGTTTCATTTGTAATAAATAAAAGGAAAAATCACCTCATATACACATTTAAGAGTCAATATTACAGATTTTAAATCTACTTTTAAAAAATTCTTGCTTATAATAGTTTAATTACGGGTTATAACATATCACTAATTATTTATAAATTAATTAAATTTTACTTTATTAAATAAGTAATTTTTTATAATTTTATATTATTATTTAAATAAAGAATACCCCATAATTATCTCTTACACAATTATAGGGATTTTACATTGATTACACTTCCTTATTTAATGTTATACTCATAACCTCC